GAAAGAAACTCAATGTCTCTGAGGATGCAGCTGTCTTTTGCATCATTAGACCAGTAGTCCTGTGGACAGTTAATGCACTCAGCTGCACCTGAAGAGAATTAAGAGGGAATTAGTGGTGTCAGTTTTCAAAATATTGAAATGTGGAAAAGTACAATGAACATAACTTATGGCTTTTTCATGTTGATGTCATTTTGATATTCTTGTTTAGCATTTCCCTTTTAATATTTCCAATCAGAAACACTTACAGTAAGATATTGGATAATTATTATTCTGTGCTACAATACTCAAATTTGGCACCAAGACTTCAGATCCTAATTAATTTCTTATATATTATGATACTACATTGTTCACAATCACAATTCATTTTAATTCTTCAGTGCTCATTCCAGTAAAAAGTATCATGATCCTGACTCACTACAAGTTGAAGGGATCCTTGTTTACCAATAAACATATAATACTGGTCTTGTGGTAAGAAAGAAAAATACACGTCCAGATGAGCAAAAGTTCACAGGCATAGAGCCAAGCCATAAACTGATTTATGGCACTTTTATTATGATGTTTCATTTGTGAAAGTTAGAAAAATGTTAAAATATTTACAGCTACATTTTTATCTAGAGAACGATCAAATTAGATTTTTCAAGAAGCTGCATAATATACTATAACTTTAATGTTCTCCCCTTCAGTAAATTAAATAGATTGTATATTCATACCTGTGGTGTTTGCTATGGTACCATCAGCACAAGGAATGCAATCGAAGCAGCAGATAGGCTGGCCTTTCCTGGCTGCTCTTCTTGTGCCTGGGGGGCAGCTCTCAGAACACACTGCTTTGGGAACCTAAAGAGAGAAAAATTGTCGAAGTATCACTTGTGCTTGTTTTAACACTGGGTAGACAGAAGCTTTGTTTATATTATTTTTTTTTTCAGCATTTTCTGTGAATTTTGAGGATCACTTCAAAATGTAAAATTTATTAAGTATTTACAGTTGACGTCCAAAGATCTTTCCTCACCCTTACCAATAAACTATATATTACTGTATGTTAGATGGTTATTGTCAGTATTAGTTAAAAGAAACATAAAGCACTTTTTACTTTAAGAGTAATTAAATTAAATCCTTACCTCTCTCCCAGTGCTCCAGACAATACTGTCCTCATCAATCACTAGCTGACTGCCTCCATCTGGTGATGTATCAAAGTGACCCACTGTCACATGGCTGACCACTCCTTTGTTGAGTTGCCAGTTTATAATGTCATAGGCAGCAGGAGGATCTCCGTTCTCATCAAAGTACA